GTGATCCCAGTTCCTTACCTGAAAACAAATTCTAAAGGAAAACAGAAACAGTATGTTCCATCCATCCGTCCGTCCATCTATTCATTTTCTGTACACTCTTGTCCCTAGTGGGGGCTGGAAGGGGTTCTGGTGCCCATCTCCAGCGAACATTTTGGGCGAGAGGTGGGGTACAGTATGTTAATTAATAAATTGTAAATTTTAAGTATGTTGGACATCCTGATGCTTTTGGAGGGAATTGTGATTTCACTATGTCTCTGTTTTGGAATAGTGAAGAACAGAAGGAAGAAAAGATGGAGGAAATCAAAAGACTGTCAGAAGAGTTGTGAGGAGGAAAACATAATGATTGAAAGAAGAATAAGCAAGGAGGAAAATAGCAAAAGAATGTTCCAAAGAAAACTGTGTTACTTTACCACACTTCCTCTTCTTTCAGAGTGGCTGTATCCTCAGTTGTAGGTGTTATAGATGGTTCTGGTTCAGTAGCCTGATAGCCTATGGATAGAAGCTCTTCATGGTCTCTCTGTACTGAACCTGAGGTTCACCTCACTTCCCAACTTTGGCACCTTTATGGATGGCAACATAAAAAAATTGAAGATAAATTGAAAATAGGTATATAGGCATATTGCTAAAATGTGTTTTATTTCTTGTATATTAAGTATTTCACTTTACTGTTCATAACCTTCTCTGCTCTTATTCTATCTAGATCTCCATGGCAACCAGGTCTGATCTCTATGGCTGATGGCTCTTCACACAGAGGTCTTGTAGAACCATAGATGAGCTGATGCTAGCAGACTCCCAGACCAACCACAGTTCACTCACCTCATACACATAATATCCTTACATCAATATATATATATATAAAACAAGTGCATGTTCACTTACATAATATACACTACTGTGTCTGCTACTACTGCTTTCTTAGCTTACATACCAGCCTCCTCTCACTCTAAATTACATGAGATAAGAACTTAAGGAGTATCTTTGTAAGACTCCTGGCACATGAGAGACATATTGCGATGGGTCTGATGAGGAGGTGTCTTTGATAACCAATCTTCCGCACACAGTGGCCTTGTATCAACTAAACTATGTGAACCCCTATGCTGAAATATGGGGCTAGCCAGGGGCTGGTGAGGGTCTCTGCTGTCTCCCAATGTCTCTCTCTGAAGAAATCTGAAATATGAGAAAGTCCATCAGTCTATGGCAGGTTTCAGAGCCCAAGCTGTGCTTAGAGGTGAGTGCAACTATATCTATGGGATAATTTTACTGATGTAAAATTCAGTAAATTTTTTCTGAATTTTACTGAATTCAGTAAAATTCAGTAAATTTACTGAAATTCAACTTATCAACTTCAAGTTTCAAATTATCAACTTATCAAGTTGATAAGTTGACACTTGATAAGTTTCATATTGACTTATCAAGATCATACATTTTAAGTTTGAAAGCAGAATTTCGTATCTTTTATCTCAAAACTTGTAATACTTGCACTCAAAACGTCTGCTCTATTTCAAATATTTCTATGCTCTCTCAAATCTTTGTGCTCATGCTCAGATTTTCTCCTCATGAGCAAAACTTCTTTGCACAGATTCACTCTCAGCTCACAAACGTCTGCGCACTTGCAAATTCTTTTCTGCTCTCTCTCAACCAAAATTACTGTTACCTGGTAACATTGTAACCAATAGAATGAAGGTGTTATAATGGGCAGCGGGAGCCTCCCTAGGGTGTGTTGGTTTCCTTCTAGTGGGTGACTTCATTTTGCTAGGATACAAATAAATCTTGTGACATTGCAGAAGCATAGTGAATGTGTGCTGTAATCAAAACTGAAATATTACTGATGATGTGTGAGCTTTTTTTTCAGTAGTGATGGTTTTTTTGGCCAGGCAGTGAATTTGCCCTGTCTGTGGAATTCTTTTCTGTGTACTACTTTAGAGATTAGGGTTGTCTTTTTAACTGTTTAACTGTTTTCAGTTTTTACAAAGCCATGTCCCCTGGACTGAGGAGGTGGGGGCAATCAGTACACAGCAGGAGTAAGAGATTTGCTCAGGGCAATGAAGGAGGAGAAAGAGGTGGTGACTATAGTGGGGGTGGTGAAATTGGAAAAGCATGTGGAGAAAGATGTGACTGTGGGAAGTATCCAGATATTTCCAGATGCCCAATGCACAGTGGGTCTGAGGGCCACAGCAGAGCCACCCTCCCGTGGGACGTGACTCACCTGGAAGGAGGGCCAAGCACTGCCAGATGTGGAGGAAGCCGTCTGGGTCCCTCACACTAAGCCTGTCTAACACTGTCTTGATTGTGCTTCAGCATATGCTTCCAGTCAAGGGTGAAAAATGCAGGCACCAGCACATGCCAGAAGTCTTTCAAGCATAGCCTAGCAGTCAGCCTGCAGCCGTGCACCACTCTGATCTACACACACGCTCACACAGGCCCCCACACAAGGATATTAAGAACCTGATTCACACGCACACATACACACACACACAGAGCAGAGTTCCTCCCAGTCATCCAGTCAGTGTAGTGCAGACATGTCACCACACAGCAAGTCAAGGCTGGTTAAGCTGTGAAGCGGCTAAGAGGGACCCAGTCCAGACACCCAACCCTGGGGATAGCAACACACAACACACCCATCCAGACACGCATATGGCCCACCTCACCTACTAAACATGGAAACCAAACACAGAAGGGTGAAAACAAGGAAGAAAAGAAAAGTGACTTGATGGTCTCTCAGTATTCAGAGGTTGGAGTGTCGAGTAGGATCTGAGCAAACACAGAAAACACTAAATTAGTTGCTTGAGTCAGAAAAGGTAGCTTAATTTACCTTGTAAAAATTTGCATTGCTTCAATTGATTAAATTAGGGCCCTATGAGTTTTATACAACTATATTTCAGAACAACCTACTTCATTGTACCTTCATAAGAAAAGACAAGAATTTCTCCTCAGCAAGCATGACTCAGCAATTCAAATAAATCAGGAAAGCAACATGTTCAGAGAAAACACATCCAGCTCCACTTAACCTGGCAACTATCAACTCCTGAAAGAATTTATCTAATTTAGCAGCGATGAAGAGTCACCACTGCCATGTTTGTAACTGTGTGTGAGCCTTGGAGGTTCCTCCGAGAGTGTAGAGACTTGTAGCTGGTGAGCAAACATCTCTTTCATGCTGAAGAATCCCATCCAAATCCCCCCTACCTGCAGTTACACACACACACACACACACACACACACACGCACACGCACACACACACACACACACACACACACACAGATGGCTACCTGCAGCCTGTAAAAGTCCAAGAGCCCTGTGTAGGAATGTGCATGCTGCACAATGACCTCATTGTGCCATGATATGGCTTGTCTGAGCTTCACTCTGTGGCAAAGTCACACCTGTTCCACCTATGCCAAAGGGCTGACAAAGCCAAAGATATATCAATCAGCATTCAGAGCACACAGAAATGAATAGCGCAGAATGAGAGACGCATGCATATACATGCAAAGACCCACTCACATTCAATGTGTCCCTGTTTGTGTCTACAGCAGAGTGGACTGCTTAGACTGTTGGTGCCTAAATAAGCTGGGACATAATGTTGTTTCACAGGTTTTGAACACAATTATAAACACAACACAACAAGGAAAACAGATCATTTGCCCACTATGAAAAATGCCAACATACAGTAAAAAGTTCTATCTTTTCATTTTAATATAAAGTACAATATGTTAGGCACATGGACAAGATTATAAATCTTTACTATAAACCTTTGAATGCACATAACCTACTGTTCAATGTTTCAGTAGTTTTTGCTGAACTTGTGTTTGAGCCATGAATCGACCAAAATATTTTCTGGTTAGGTCAGAATTAGTATTCAAACAATCCTGTTGATCACGATGTTCACATTCTGACATCATGAGGCCAAGATGATATCAACAGCAGCTTGCCCTTTAGAGACTTCAAAGAAAATGTTCTCAGACGGAAGTGGCTGCTGTGCTTAGAGTGTCACAGAGCGTCATCAGTAGGATGCAACAGAGATACAGTGAGATTAGAAGACTCATACAGAGGTACTGAAGTCCTCTGGACACATCCCATACCGATGACTGCTTCATTGCACACAGTGTCCTACAGAACCAGATGATGAATGCCACTCAACTCCTGGTACAACTAAGAAAAGTTAGTGTAATATCAGACCATTCAAAGCCATTCACATCAGCATGGTATACAGGCTAGATGAAGGATTTTCTGTAGTTATTAATAGGCTGCTTAATTCTGTTAATATATTAACCATAATTACTATGGTTATTAATATTAAACGCTAGCTGGTGAGCGAAAGACGCTGATAATGACCTGATCATGGTTATAAGAGGAGCCTGTTGCCAATCCTCCAGTGTCTGAGTATTTGCCTTGAATGGTATTTCAACCTGCCTTTGTGTGCTCTGAAATTCTTTGTGTTTCTCTTTGGTGACCATGTACTTGACTGTTGTGGTTTCCTTTAAATGAGTTTTTCTCCAAGGCTTCTAGCGTAAGAGCAAGGGGTGTTGGAGGGTGCCATTATATTGGATATTTACGGGCAAATATTAATATGGAAGCATGGCTGGAAAGGGGAGTAAAAAACAGTAATGTGCTGGCTAAAACTGTAAAGTATGGTTTTGCCTGGTTTTTGGAGTCACAGACTCGAACCACGCTGGTGAGCCATAACGGACTGTTGGATCAGAGTTGGAGCAGTTTTACTGCCGTTCGTTTAAAGATTGGTAATTTGTGGTGAGGTGAGTAACCAATTCCTTGTGGTTGATGATGCTATTCCAGCCATCATCATTCCTGATGATCATCATTCCTGATGATCATCAGTCCCGATGATGGCGGGCATAGCAGGCTGCTATTTTGTGGACATATGCTAATTAAGCTAACAGACTGCTTTGTACCTGTAAGAGACTGAATACGTGAAGTTGATCAATTAATTTGCTAGCCCTGTTTGCAACTTTTTTTTAAATATATATACATATTCTTATGTTTAAAGGTTTTTGTGTGTGTGTAGTTCTGTGAATGTGAGGTTTCACTAAGTGTGCTAAGTGTCCTCGTACACATCTATTTGGGTTGTGGGGTTTATTTGTTGTAGCACTTGATGTGATTAATACCCAATTAACGGGTGGAATACATCCTTGTGCTATGGTTCTACTGGGCTGAAATAAACAGTTCTTTGTTCTTGGTGCATTGCCCTTGGTTTATTTACTAACCAGTATGGTTTATTAAACTGGTAATTATCATTTTCCCTTCCTTATAAGTGCATAAGGTTAAAATTACACTGCACTTTCATGCACTTTTATGTAGTCTATTCAATACATACACTGGTATTGAATAGACCAGTCTAAGACAATCACTACTCATGAGGTCACATTGTGTAGTATTTGATAGAGTGTAGGTCAGAGAATCTGGGAACTGTTCACATTGTAAACTTGGACAGTGGTTGCATATTTACTTAACTTTGATTTAACCAGGCAGTCACCATTGAGATTATCCTGCCTATTATTGCCAGGTCTCATTTAAAATGAGATGTTTTAAGGAAGACCTGGTAATGAGGCAGCGACATAAAACGAAAGTTACAAACATTACATCCAAATAACATCCACAAAAATGAGTGTTAAATGAGTTTTATCACATGCAAAAATACACTTTCCACTCAATTAGTATGTGATGTTTTTTTTTGTTTCTATGCAAGTTTTACACAAATTATATTGTGATATATTTTGTTACCGCCACCCATCACAATATATTGTGTTATGAATGTTATGCCATATCGCACATCCCTACTCCTTACCACTCATTTCATCAGTTCTCGAACCAGTTCACAGCACTATAGTTTTTACTAAGCTCGACCTCCGCAACACCTACTACCTACCAAGGGGCGCAGGATAAGGGTGAAAAGTAATGACAATTCTAGGGTTCCTGACCAGCAGGGGGCCCTCCACAATTGAAGTATTTATTTTTTATTCATAGAAATTTAAAAAAAAAATCGAGGTCTTGTCAAATACAAAATTAATCATATTGTATGTTCAAAGATTGTTTTGAGCAGTAAAAAATTAATGTTTCCCCCCCCAAACACACATCCGTTTTTGCCCTGACACCCCCCCCCCCCCCCCCCCCCCCTCATCTTTGTTTCCTGGTTTGGGGGGGTTGTGGGGGGGGGGGGGGGGGGGGTNTTAAAATTTCTATTTTCCCCCCCCCAAAACCCTCTCCGTTTTTCCCCCACCCCCCCCCCCCCCCCCCATCTACGTTAAATGGTTCGTTCCGGCTTGGAGCGCTTGAGAGTGACGCTGTTCAGCTGCAGTTAGTAGAAGCTGCAGCTGAATACAGCTGCCACGAAACGACTGTGGCTGTTAACTATGCTGCGAAGAAAAGTTATAGAATCAAGTTTTCAAAAACAAAATAGAGAGAGGGAGAGAGAGAAAAAAGCAAGAGTGTTAATTTATAACCCAGTTTTTCTCCAAGAGAGGTGGGTAGACTGTGTGATATTATCAACCATTTAGCATAATTAGCTTAGCTACAGACTACTGTTTGCCTCCATTTCACTAGCATTTAATGAATTAAGGAAAAAAAATGACCAACATATTCATATATTTAACTTGTTCCCTTGTACCTTTTACCACTTAACAACAGATGAGTCAGTCAGCAGCAGCTCTAACCCACGTCCCTCCTGACCTGTTGTCTTCTGAGTGAAATTAAAGCTGCATTATGTCACTTTTATATAAATATTTT